TCATGACAATAAAAGTAGCCTCCTGCCTTTTAGCCATTTTCAGTGAAATAATATTGAGATAATTTGAAGGAAACTGCTTTCTACTTAAAATTTAGTAGCAGCTATGCCATGTATTTATTATTTTAGGTGTATTGGGAGGCACAAAGGCAATATGGCTATAAAATGCAGAAAAAACACATCACTGAAATGATCAAATTATCATTTATTCCTTTTTCAGACTAAGGAGTTTTTTATTTTGCTTTTAAGATGAAATTTCTACTCTTAATTCCTATGCCTCATTTACTATTGAGATTATGCTACTTATAAATAAATAAATAAACGCAACAACATCAAGTGTTGAGTACACAATTTCACTTATTTAGATTATGTGAATCACATTGCAGCCAAATAATAATAATAATATTAACAATAATAATAATAATAATAAACATAATAAAAGTAACGGTAAAATCACAGATTGAGATGGTAACTAGTAGTATGTCCACATAGTATGACTAAAGTATGGCTTTGCTTTCTTATGTCCAAGGTGACAATGCAGTGTTATATTTTGTGTCTGATGGAATGGCAATGATGAACTTTTACTGTATTAAAACTTGAGCATTTTATGCCACTTCTTCCCATAAATCAAAAAAGTGCATGAACACAATTTTCATCCTTTCTTACTCAGAATTCATTGGAGTTACATCTTTATGAAGTGTAATGTTTACCAAATCATGCACACACACACAGAGAAAAAAAAAAAGAAAACAAAAGAAAATGGAAGAAAAGAAAAGAAAGAAAAAGACACATCCTGTCTACTGTGAGGATACATACAGTGTTAGGTACTCCCAGGGAGTCTAAGATCACGAAGATTTGTTTTGCTTTTATAATGCATAGTGAAAATGTTGGCACTTCATCCCATGCTATTGTCTGCATTGCCTATACTCCACAGATACTGCCAGTGCTTGAAAAGAATGACAGGGAATTGTAGGATTGTGCTGTTTAATTTGAAGTCAGCAGGTTTTTAAGGCTTTCTGCTAACAATAATTGCTTTCATACATTTCTGTCTATCAGCAGTACTTGTAAATGAAGTGAAATTGCAATGATCAGGTCAGCTCTTTAGTCACATGGGTAAACTTTCACTCTCCAAAGTCAAAATGTAATTTTAAAATAAAGAAATAAGATACCAGTATCCTCGATAGTCTAAATATAATTCACAGCTAATTAGGAACTTCCTCTAGATTCAGATTGAATTATGTAGGGGAAAATACTATTGACGATAACAATAAATTCTTACTGCATCCGTACAAAAGACGACAGAGAAAATGACAAATACAGAGTGCCACAGCATATTCAACCTTCCCCCAGACTTCTGGAGATGATACCTTTCTGAAAACGTGAGACAAGGAGAGCCACTGAAGAAAGCACGACAACTAGCAGCTAGCTTTCTTTCCGTCTGCTGACATATCGTGGTATAGCATTCAGGCGAACCCAGATCCACCGTAGACTTTACACTGTAGCTCAGCTTTTGGTCAGGACTAGTTCCAGCTTCAGAAGACAAGTGCAGTGTGTTGCTCAAATAGATTTTTTTTTTTAAAAGCTGCACTTACTGTAATTTTTGAAATCCAATTTGGCTTTCTGAACCCTGCATAGCCAGGAGGACACTGATTTTTCTATATGCTTGATTAGATTTTTATTAAAATGTAACTTTTATTCTTCTGATTAGGAAAAGACTAATTATATTTTACAGCTACAAACAGGTTTTCTTTCCTTCCTTTGCCTCAGCACTGTGAGGTGAAGACGCTTTCTTCTACTATATCTAAGATCATTCAAAAAGTGCTTTTCAGGACAGATGTCAAATACAGCCAGAAAACTTTCTATACTGGAAAGGGGATTTTTGGGGATACAATGGACTAAGAAAAGAATAAATTTAGGGATTAATGCCACTTAAAGTAAGACTGAGACACGGCAGTATAGGATGCTGAAGGTTTCATTTTTACTCTATGGAGAGTGAAATGCTTCCACTTTAATAAGCTGACCGTATTCCAAAATTAGTGTGGTTGATACAATATTGTGCATGAATTACTGACCTCACCCTGCAAGAACGATATCTGATTTGTGCAAACGTCCCTTGCTGCAATTTAGAGAAACAACAACCTGGTATGTTGATTACTGACGCAGGGTATTCATCATTTCTGTAAGGAAAGCATGAAGAACAGGGTTTGCTTTTTTGGGTATCACTTCTTGGAGTGAGTACCTAAAATAGATGTTGTAGTTTTTTGAAATATGCAACAAAATCTAGTTATTGGTTAAAAAGTATATAAAATAAAAAAAAAAAGCTCTCGAAGCTTATGAAGTGACTCCACAGAGTTCAGACCTTTAGCAGTATAAACATAATATAAACTTCATTGTCTGTAGTATTGTGCCATGACATTAGTCTCACTAAGACAAAATGCCACTTTGCAGCAAGCAATAAATCTGACAAAGCATTTTTAAACATAATGCCCTAACTTGCTAAGACAGGCTTTTACACGCTTCCAAACTCTTCTCCCTGAAAATCAACCCCATTGATTCTTCAAATGTTAAGGGTCTCGGGCTAACGTAATCCAAAGGCTGAAGTAAAATAACCATCCCCTTGGAACCGAACGAAAACTTAAATCCAGAAGGGATCACAGTCTTAATTTCATATACATATATATGTATGCGATACACATATATATGAAATTAAAATAGAGACACACATGACTTGGGCATCAGAAGGGGACTGCTACTTTCATACATTCATAAATAGCTGCTGAACTCTCTACTCATGAAGAAGCTCTTGTAGGCAGTTTGGGGATTTGAAAATCTCGGGGACCTCACTGTCCAGCTTACAGATGACCTTGTATATGGCCTTCTTCCAGGAAGGATCAACATCTTTGCCTGCGATAATGGCATTGAAAAACTCCCGTAACGTGATCTGAGCCACTTCCAGGAATCTCTCTGGAACCTGCTGATACAAGGAGACAATGGCATTAATACAGTTTTCAATTTCAAGTCTCTGGTTCTTCAAAGGAAACTGAGCTAAGTTCTTTCTTTCAGAAAGGGGCTTACATAGCACCTGCATTTTCTAAATGTGGCAGCCTTCTATTCTCTTATGCAAAGCTGTTATATATAGTACTATAGCAATAACTTTTATAACATGTGTTAGAGATCTCTGTAAAGTCTACTGACAGAATGTAGGTAACAAAATGTTACTGTCTGAGTTTGGAGAGTGGGGGATTTATAGGATATAATTAGCAGGAGTGGAAACAAACACAATTGTCTTAAAGGAGAGAAATCTCTACTTGATAATTTTACCCATGCATTTATGGTTATGTTCTCCTCTCCGTGTGGGAACTAATATGAAAGTTACGCATGCACAGAAACCCCTCTCTATCTCTGTGCTTAACTTTGGTCACAGCCAGTGCTGAAAGCTACCAAAGAAATGGTATCTCTGAACGTTGTTCGTAGTTTAAAAACTAGCAAGCAAGCCTTCAGCTAACGGCTTGCTTCTGTGGCTGCTGTGCACGAGACGCCCATCAGATGGCTTTCTCGGGGGACATTACGGTCTTCCCTTCTTTTTCAGAAGCCCACAGGTGAAACCCTGACCTCTTCAATGGGTGCACTGTACTCCAAGTAGCTACTGAGCTCAGATGCATCAAACTCATCTGGGTTTTATAAATGTCACTGTCACTTCACGGGTGAGCCAAACAGCCAGCTATCAGGGGCATGACGCTCTCAGAAGCCCCTGAACAATGGGTGAATGTTAAAAACCACAGTTACCTCCAAACTTTGGTAACTCATCCTAAATAGTTGCCTCAGGCAACAGCACCACCTTCTCACCCTCTGCCTTAAATGATTCGAAAGCAATCACTATAATGAACCATAGGTCAGTTGCAAGGTGAGGTCATCTCCATAAAGGTATTATTTTCCATTTTTATTACGGAAATATGGCTTCGCAGCTCACAGCCAGCCAGTGACCAGCATGTTTATAATAGCAAGTATTCCCTCACTGCTATTCTTTGCCCACTCCAGCAAGAGGAGTTGTCTGACCTGCAGTAGAGGCTACTTCAACCATTTCTGTGGCCAATGCACACCTGGGCAGATCTCACTCCTTTACTGAATGCAAGTCACATTGCCAGATCAGGGCCAGCACCTTATCCTCTACTTCAGGCTTTTGTTCTTCTCCCTTTAGCAGCCACTTTCAGAAAACTTGTCTGGAAATGTATGTGTTTGATCTGACACGATAGGGCTCTGGAGCCTCACTCGCCTCTCAGCGTTGGGGAAACACTAGCAGTTTGCTAGCCACGTTTTGCCAATCGGGTGAACATGAGATCAGCTCCCCCTGACACCAGCCGACAAACTCTGCTTCCAGCAGCCCCACAGCCCACACAAGTCCTCTGTCTACCTCCAAGAGTGAAATCCAGCCCCCCCACATTTTTCTCTGCTCCCAAAGACAGGCTGCCTGTTGGTGAAATTTTTCATTCAGTGGGGCCCACAGAAAGAGACATTTTTACAGATGTTCTATTCCAGCAGTGATTACGAGGGAAGAAAATAATTATTACATTTCACTTATTCCAGCTCAAAGAAATAACTTTAAACTTCACATAACCCCTCTGCTGTTTGGGCACTTGGTAATACGTCTGCAAAAGATACCATGCTTGTGTCATTCTTGCATTGCTATAAAAAGTGGTACACTTTACTGTTCATGGGGTTCAAACAACTACTCGTGCTCTTCATCACCCTTGGTATTGCTAGGTGCTAACCAAGGGGAAGGAGTTGTTGACTACGTGATCCTAGAAAGCAAGAAATGTAGCAATAACCAACTTTTTGGTGTACACACTGATGTTAGCTCATGAGGGCAAAACCTGTTGTTTTTTGTCTTTGTGCTTGGGAAAAAGAGTTCACACCTTTCAATTTTGGTGTCCAGAGGACCAAGTTTAGATGTCTTTCTCCCCTTCCAGTTTTCTGGAGATGGGAGGGAGGCAGGCAATTACAAGTACCTACATGAGAAGCAAGAAGTCCAAATGCAAAAAGTCCTACTTCTCCCTACATGGTTACACTCACGACAACTTTAAGAATGGAAGTGACAACCTGGTTTTAAGTTGAGCCTTTGCCATTCAATTTCTGCCTGTGCACATGAAAGTTTTCCAGGCATGGGATGCTGCTTTTCCATGGAGTAGGCAGTGTGAAACCCCTAAGCCACTAGCTTCCAGGTGTCCCACCGCCACAAAGACACACAGGCTTTTCTTTTAGGCTAGGAGTTAGCTTTTAAGGTCTGACTTCATTGTACCTGAGTCACATCTGCAGGGCCGGGCTCCTTTGAACTTGACAGAACAGGCTGCAGAAAGCAGCCCACAAACATAACAGTGAACGAAGCCCTGTGTGGGCTTTGAAGGGACCTCCTCGTAATGCTGAGTTCCCAAAGATCTCCCATGCTCCGCAGGCATTAAAGCTGTTCATAGCTCTTTCCTTTTGGGATGTTATTAGCAATTTTTCATGTCAAAGTGGATTACACACGTTACTTTGCATGTTGTAATGTGAATAGCACACTGTGATTAATCCCCACAGGATAGTACGTTGGCCAACATTTTTCCTTTCTAGAAAGAGTAACCACAAAGTGTTGTTTTGTTTTGTTTTGTTTTTTTTAATAAAGAAAACACTAGTGAAGCCCAGAGCCTGAAAATAAATATTTAAATGGATGGGTAGTTAGATTTTTCACTGGGCAATAATCAGTCAGCCATGTCAATTATGTGTCAGGGGGTAGCATTTCTCTGACCCTAAGTGATGGCGACCTATTCAGCGCATCTTTACACCTAACTGACTGAACATCTCTGAAGTAGGAACATCTGCAGAAAATGCTTCAGTGACAAATAAACTCCATCTACGTTGCTTTTAATAGAACCAACAATCCCTAGTATGAACTCAGGGCATTTTCTTAGCATCAGGTGGCAGCAGTCAATCAAAGAATCACACTGTACATTCACCGGCAGGAAAGACAATGAGGTCTGCTCAGGGGGAGGCTAGGTGGGTTTCAGGCTGAAGCCTCCACATCAGACTGATTTAGAAAGAAATTACACTTTGCCGCATGCTTTGTCAATGTAACTTAGCTTCACTGCCAAGGAAAAAAGTCACAGTCCAAACTTTGGGATAGTGTAAATCAGCAGAGCTCTACCAGCCTCAGCGCAGCTATGCTGATTTACATCTGGTACGCATCAGTCTTGTACCTCCTAATGCAGTCCAACAACCACCACAGTGCCCCTCCTCAAGCCTTAGCCCCGTTAACACATCCTCTTCGTCTGTGAAAACTGGGAGGGCATTAAAGCTCTCATCTGCTCTTGTCTATTTATGCTGTTTTAACTACTGGCATTTTCCTTGGCTTGAAGAACAAACCTGAACTATTTCACTCCTGGGTTTGCGTGTGCAACTACCATGCCGAACCATTTGGATTAGCACTGTGGGGGTGTGCTTTGTTAAAAATACTCAGCACAAACTATTTCTATGTGAGTAAAACTATAGTTCCAATGGCTCAAAAGCTGGAGCCAAGTCAGACCTCGCATTTCTTTCATACAGAAGCATACACAGTTACAGAAAGCAATATGCTTTAAAAATACTTGTTGAATTCCTTTTCAAGGAAAACACTACCAAAAAGCCACCGGTGATTGGGAAGGTGAGGACAGATCCTCAGCGGGTCTAAGTCAGCGTTGCTCGAGGAAAATCAGTGAAGCAACACTGATTTTAAGCCGACAAAGAGGATCAGGTTTCCCTTTCTGATGGCATGCATGGACTTTAAAAATCACTGTTGGGAAGGTGGGCACACTAGCAGTAGCCATGTGTCTCAAGTTGGTGGCCTATCAGTGGCCCTTCACTTTTTCTCATTATTGGGTTGTCTTGTATCTTGTACCTTTTATTAGTTAATTCATTTATTTTTTGGGTTGTGCAGCAAAGACTTTTTCTCCCTTCCCTCCCATTCTCCTCATCTCCTCCCCTCCCTCAGCCCTCCTCCTCCTCCTCTTCCCAGTTGCTTTACCTTCAAGGATGATTTGTTTTATTAAACTGACTGTCCCCAGCCTCTGCAGTACATAATAAAAGCCTGACATAGCAGCCTGCCTGCCTTCTGTGTCCTGCAGATACTCATCATAAGTGTCAGGACATACCAAGGTTAGCGGTCACTGGAAGTGCGCTCGCTGGCTCAAGCCTTGCCAAACATGCTTGGCAGCTGAATGAATGTCACAGAGAATAGAAGGGGAATTACAAAGGTTAGAAAGAAGACAGACTCTCTCTCTTTTTTTTTTTTTTTTTGGTGGAGATATATAAACTGATTTTTCACACTTCTGAAATAAACATCAGCTCATTCACAGTCCCTTTCCAGCACCTAAATCTCTCCCATTGTCAAGCAAACCTTTAATTTCTACCCAAGCCTTATTTCTTCATTAGCAAAATAAGATGCTTAATTCTCTCTTAACAGAAAAGGGGAAAAACACCAAAACCAAATGACAAAACAAGTCACCGGTCTGCTCAAAGATTTATATGTGTATTTCATGTTGCTAATCCTATTAAGGGTGGGCTTCTTTACAGTTAATCTTTTAAACTTTCAAAAATTCTTGCTCAAGTGGTAAATCTAGATGATAGAAAAAGCAATACAGATGTAAAGATCACAGAATGTGAAAGTCAAGTTAAAACCGATATTGCAGAGAATTGTGTTTTGTTTTTTTACTATAAAAGGGCAATAAAATGCTGACTGTAAGAAGACAATGTCAAGGAGAAAAGGGTATTGGTATTTTGGATACTCTTGACTGCTCGCCTTGGAGAGAGAGTTATTCTTGTCACAAACCCTTTTGTCTGCATCTGCTGACTGCTTGCCTGTAGCCAGCAGCATACTTTAACTGTTTTGTCACCTCCTAACATCACATGCATCAGCTGTTGTGCTTTTGTTACGGGTATTGTAGAGCTAATCCACTGTGGCTG